TTTTCCTCCACACGCAAGCCTGGCTGCTGCCTCTGGAAAGTCATCTGTGTACGTTAGAGCTCAGGGGTTATTTATTGGTTTCATAATTATTTCAGAGTTGTTTCTGGTGTTGTTTCTTATTTTATATTGTGGGGGTTTTAAAAGAGGAGAGGAAAAAAAAAAAAGAAAACAAACAACAAAACACACCCACAGAGTTGCCAGATGCGTTTTTTAAAATCTCCCTCATTCAAATTATTATTGCTGACTGTCTGGGAGAATAACCAAATACAGATTATCTACTTATTAATGTACCACCAAAACACATGTAATGCCCACATGTTGCTGTGGAGCAGCAGAAGATAAAGTCTAATCCTGAAGTTCCTCACAGACTTTTATTGTGCAGCTTTTCGCTTTAATTTCCAAAATTCTTCCCAAATCTCACAGTTTGGATAGTGGTGGTGGATTGTTCATGTTGGCTCCATGTTTTTTGTGTGTGGAACAGTTGGCAGAAATGTTCTGAGATGTGTCTGTGGGCCAGCAGGAGAGGAGCTGTGCAATCCCACTCAGAAATGCAGTTTGGAAGCGCAGATTTGGGGCTGCTCTGGAGCAGAGGATGCTGATTATTCCCAGACTATTCCTTTTGCCAGCTCTGGGGATAACTGAGCCAGCGAGAATTCCAGGGGTAGGAATGGCTGTGGTTCCCAAAGTGGAGYCTGGCACAGTGCCCTGAGAGCATCACTGAGCCATCCAGGGATAACTGCAGCAATGCCAGGTCATCCCAGCACAGATAAACCTGGAAAAGGGTTKGGATCATGAACAKTGTACAGAGAGGCTTTCATCAACTRMWGCTCTTCRCATTTAAAAAGCTCCTTTCACCCCTAACCCCTTTGCCCAAAATCAGACCTATGGACTCACCCCCAGCTGCTCTGAAATCTGAATTTTACCTACGTTTCCACCTCAAATTTTCCTCATCATGTGTATTCCCTATCCTTGGAGCAATCAGGAATTAGCCCACATATAACTTTAAATAGTCAAATGCTGAATTTTCCCCATTCAACCATTATCAATTACAATTTAACAGCAACATTTCACCCCTCTAATAGAAACTAATGAACTCTATCAGCTCTCTCATTAAGGACATATGTGCTCCACACAGAACATTGSTTAAAAACATTAAAATTCAAACAGAAGGCTCCTTTGTGGAAGGCCATCATAAAAGCCATGTAGACATCTTTAGTCTTTGAAGGTATTTTTCCCATTAAAAAGAAAAAAAAATTGGTCACAGGGAACGAAAAGCTTCTAAATAGGGTTTTGGTAATCCCACAAGTGCTTTTATCTGAGTAACAATATTTGCTGGCAGAGAATGTGGAGCCAATTATATCTTGGGTCATTCATTAACATAAATGAAGACTCTGACATATCAAAGTTTCTCCTCCTCCCCCCAAAATTTTATCATAAAGGAACTGTTGCCTTTTTCCATGCTAATTTTGTGGTCTTGAAGTTGATAAATTGATAATTTATCACATAAAAGACCCAGATATTTTATTTACAACATCCATTCAGGAATGCTCCTGAATTATGGCTGCCTCTGAATCCACAGCAGCAAAATTTCACCTCAGTTTCAAAATTCTCTTGGAAAAAAAAAGACCCTCCAGGCACAGGGCAGGTGATGGGAARTGCAGGGGAGAGGCCAAGCCTGGATTTTGAATTTCTCAAGCCTGAGCACCTCCCCCGATGAGTTTTACGAGGTTTGGTTTATCCACTTGAGAGGAGCAAGGCCGAGTTTCCCCGCAGGAAATGGAAATTGCATCCAGGTTGTGTGGCTGCTTCAAAGGGGCACAGTGCTGCTCCTGCAGGTTATTCCTGCAGGGCACAGCTCCCTGTCCATCCACCCACCCACCCATCCTTCCCAGCTTTGTTCTTCAGCCCTTCAGGGGAAAATGAATAGAGAGAGGGGGATGTGGAGGTTCTCACTGCTTTGGGCCTTTTTTTTCAATTTTTTATCTTCTGCTGCTGCTTCTTTGTGCTTTCCCCCCTTCATTTTTATCCTCCTTATCTTCCTCACTTTATATATTTCATTTTTCTTCCCTTCAGTCTTAGTAAGCTTTTCCTTCCAAAGCATTGTGTGCCAGCTCAGGGCAGCAATAGCATGAGAACAGCAAAATCCCAACATTTTTATAGCAAAATTTTTACCTCCCTGGGTACCACAGCGGTGTTCTGTGCTGCTGCAGCCAGAGCCTGGCACGTGTGGCTGCTTGGTTTGGTTTTGGTTTTGAGTCTCTGAAGGAAAAGTGAGGTAGGCACAACCCACGAGCTGGGAGAGCAGATATTGCTGCTGTAAAACCTCTGTGCTTCCAGATGTGCACATGAACATCTGTCCTGGGGCTCTGAGATACCTGGGCTGGAGGAATATCCAAGGAATGAAGCGATGAGGATCTCTGAATCCTTTCAGTGTTGGAAAATATTCCAGTTGAAAAATTTTTATAAGACTTTAGTCAAAGATTTTGTTCGTCTTTGCCCTGGGGGAGGGCACTGAGGTTTCTTTGTAGGGCATTGTTCCACCAGGGGAGGCCTGAGGAACTTCACAGCTCAACAGAGCAGGAGTGGCAAGAAAAGGACCATCAGTGACCATCAATGGTCATCTCTGGCCATCAGTTACCATCAGTGACCATCAACAGCCATCAGTGACCATCAATGGTCATCTCTGGCCATCAGTGACCATCAGGGACCATCAGTGACCATCAATGACCAGGAAGGGCCATTAACAGAACATATATTTTTAGAGTTGTTTAAAATACTTTTATTTTCTGCAGTATCTTGCCACGTCTAGACTTTGATTAATATATAACTACAGGATGCAAACACCTCTCACAGAGGTTTTGGTTCTGGTGTTACTGCAGGGCTTCCACTGGCTTCAGAAATTGGTATAAAAAAGAAAAAAACCTTTTGGTTTTTTGGTCGCCCCTGGCATGGTCAGAGTCACCTGGTGTGGAAAAAGAGAGATAAAAATGAGAACATAATTAACATTGGAGGCGAAGGAGTGGAGATCCAACAAGAACCCAAATCCTGAGAATTGCACAACGTTGGGACAGTGAACATTGAACCAATTAAGTTCTCTGGGGTTTGACTGGATAAAGTTTGGGTGAAATCTTGTAAAATTTATGTATCATGGAATTATTTTCTCTGCACAGCCGGGCTGTATGTGGATGAAATTATTTCTGTGGCACATCCTGGCCAGAACAACATCCTGGCTAGAAAATAAAGTAATGCCTTGACTTTGTAATATTGAAAGTATTGTTGGAGAGTTTATGTTTTCCCCGYAGTTTTGGTGACATCAGGAGCCCTCTCCAGAAACGCCTCTGACCCGCGTGGCCCCCACTGCCCCTGGGATCAGTTTGGGAAMACTCAACAAGCATTTTCAGCCAGAGAATTGGAGAGTTGGGGATGTGCCCTGAATTAATTGTTGCCTGTTGTCATTCCAAGGCAGAGCTGCAGCCGGAACCCTTCTCCCTTCTGTCCCCCACTTGTCACCGTGTCACCGGAATAGGTCACAGCAAAGCAGCTCCACTCGCGTTTGGGTGCGGAAATAAATCGATGTAAAGGGCACTGGCAATTGGAAACGATGAATATTTGAGTRTGTGACAACACAGGCTGGGCCTCTGCTTATCAAATTCCTGATTTTGCAGGAGCTGTGGCTCACATGGCACCGCAAAGAGCAAAGGAGAGGTGTGGGATAACAGCTGGAACAACGCACAGGCACTGGCAAGGAGGGGGATGTGGTGAGGAAAATGGGAATTTCCATTCATTTCCCCCTGATTAAGGAAGAAAGGGTTGTGAGAAGGAATTAGTGGCTGATGGGGATAACAGGAAAAAAATAGGGAGTGGAGGGACAAGGTGTTAAGTGTAAATAAATCCTCCAGGCGATGATACCGTAATGCTTTTGGGATATTAGCTGGGAGGCAATGCAACAAATTAATATGGAATTTGTCAGTTGGGTTGTAGGGCGTGGAAAATGAGAAAAGGGAAAGGAAATTTAAAAGGAGGAMAAGGAAATAAAAAAGAAAAAGGAAATTTAAAAGGAGGAAAAAGAAATAAAAAAGGAGGAAAATGAAATTTAAAAGGAGGAAAAGGAAAGCTGTCTGCTGCCCTTGTCCGCCAGAGCAGGATTTGCATCCCTTGAGTCACAGCCTGAGTTGAATAAAGAAAGTTTAAGCCACCTCGGAGAGCTGAACAATTTCAGGATAAGAGGTTCTGCTGTGCAGAAAGCACCTCTGTAACACTGCTCTCACATCTGCCCAGATMAGCTGGGATCCCCTCTTGGATATCCAGGAAACCTCACTGTAATCACAGCATTGACTACTATCCAGATTTTTTTTTTTATTATTCCCCCATGTGCCAAAATGCATGAGGACTTGTCTGGGCTTAGCTACAGGGATCTACAGTTTTGGGGCCTCCAGGCTAAAGTTTTCCCTTCTCAGAGTAAACAAAACAAAACAAAAAAGCTTTTCCCTTTGAAATCTGCGTGTCCYCCTGCCAGCTGCTGAGACTTTGTGTCTCCAGCCCTCCCTCACTTCATTAACTCTCTGCACAATCAAGATCCCGCTCAACTGTGGCTGCAGCGGCAGATTGCAGCTCTCCAAAATTAATGGGCAGGGATGGAGCAGGATTCAGCCTGACCTTTGGCCACAGAGCTCCTCTTCTCTTCTCTTCTCTTCTC